ATGTGGGACTCAATCCCAGGACCCTGGGATCATGACCTGAGCCGAAGGCAGACGCTTAACTGACTGAGCCACCCAGACGTACTTATAGATTTTTTAAAAAGATTTTATCTACTTATTTCAGAGAGAGAGAGAGACAGCACACAAGCTTGAGCAGTGGGAGGGGCAGAGGGAGAAGAAGACTCCCCACTAAGCAGAGAGCCCAATGTGGGGCTCAATCCCAGGACCCTGGGATCACAACCTGAGCTGAAGGCAGATGCTTAACCGACTGAGCCACCAGGCACCTGTAGATTATAGATGTTATATATTATATTATATATGACATATATATACATACATACACACACACACACGCACACATATATATGTAAACAGATACATACACATGTAGTTCAGTTTTGACCCTAAGGAAAGACTTTAAAAATAAAATCCTTGTTTATATTTCATGTTCCCAGCAAAGGTAAGCATTAGTCTGAAAACTTCAAATTGATCTCAATGTGGGTAGCCCTAACTTAACTTAGCAACAAATATTTATTGAGCTCCTAGTATATGCCAGCCTCTGTTTGAGGTGCTGGGGATACAGCCATGAATAAAATTTATCAAAATCACTGTCCTCATAGAGGTACATTCTATTGTGAGAGAGAGACAATAAATAAAATTAATAAAATTTAAAAAGTGAATTATAGAGTACATTAGAAGTGATAAGTGTTACACAGAAAAATCAGGCGAGAATAGAGATGTGTGTGGAAGGGAAGGGACAGCAATCTTAAGTAGCATAGTTAGGAAAAGCCTCATTGAGAAGGTGAGATATGAGCAAAGACTTGAAAGAGGTGAGGGAGAGGGAAAGGTATCTGGAGAAAGAGTGCTCCTGGCAGGGGCAAAGTGAAGGGCTGTAAGGCCTTAAAGCCAGAGCATAGCTATGCTTTTTCAGAAACATGAAAGAGATCAGTGTAGCCAGAACCAGGGAATGAGGAAGCAGATGAGCTCAGAAAGATCACAGGAGGCTACATCGTGTAAGGCCATAAAAACCATTTGAAAGGCTTTAGCTTTATTCTGACTGAATTAGGCAATCAGTGGAGGATAAAGAACAGAGGAATGACAAGATCTGATTTTCATTTTAAGACTTCTGCTATGAAGGGTAAGTACAATCTTTCTCATCTCAGTAATTTGGTATTTAAGTTTCCAACTGCTAAATGGCCTTTTTCATTTGGATATCTGTCACCTCAAACTCAACATGTAATAAGATATGTTTTTATATTCTTTAAGTTCCAGACTTCTTTTAATGATGAGCTGCATTGTCGATTAATGTCATCATAAAAAATACTTGTTAAATCTCTTGTGGTAGGGAGGAGATGAAATAAGGAAAATAAGGAAAATAATTACAATTTAAGGTGGACAACCTCAATGTAAAGGGAAATACGCCAGACTTGTAATAACAACCACCACAACAAAAAAGGTGTCAAAAGACCTGGCATGCTTGTTAGCATCTATTCTGAAACCCAAACCCAAATAAGAATAATCATCTAAGTAATGTATTACTATAATTAATACAACTGTTACTTTCTTTTCCTTATGGAAATTCACAGAAGCATAAATGAGGTTAACCAAATATCACAGAAGTAAAGAAGCCACTTCATTTATATTTATAGAAATTTCTATTCACATAGAAATAAAATTATTTTTAAATGTATTAATGCAACAAATTTTATAATAATGAAGGAGCATTAACTTTAAACTTTTCAATAGAAGTAGAAATAAAAGAGCAGAAAATGAAGAGGGGGAAGAAAATGAAAG